GGAGCCGCAACTGCGCACAGTCGTATGGGTGGTCAAAGTGGACGGAGCCTGGCGCCATTTTACCAACTATAACCATGCCCATTCGTCCGCCCATCAGCGTCGATCGACCAGAGAGTCGTGCTGCTTCGATGGACGCAAAACCGGGTTCGCCCGGCGACTGTCTCTTTTCAAGGCGATGTCGTTATGAAGCGGTCTACCGCGTCGCCGCCGATCGATCAGTCGACTTCTCGTGCTTCTCTCTCTTTCTCCCCCTCTGCTCTGTAGTCGCGCTGGTGTACACGTATAACCGCGCTTCTTTTCGCTCGACTTTCGCGCTAAAATCGTACTTTCGAATAAAAATCGTCGACGCTCTTACCGAAAAATGAGAGCTACGAACCTCGAGCGTCTAACCACGTCTCGTATGACGCTACGATTTTCCATAGTTACGTCGTGTCGTGGACTAAATTCTCTCTTCGAGACGTCGAGCCCGCATCGCCGAAATCGACACCGAAGCCCTTTCACGACGCTTCGTTGAGAAGAAAATTAAAGTCGGGTTTTATCCAAGTCGGATAGACGCGAGCAACGTCTAGGAAGATGGTGCGAGAAAACGCGCGACGATGAGAGAATCGGTCATGAAAAGAATCGGAGAAACGCGCGAAAAGTACGCGGCGCGGCCAATCAGGGACATCTCGTTGGTTATTCGTTCTATAAATAGCGCAACAATTTAAATTTACAATAGCGTGCGATCTGCCGGCGGGCGACACGCTGTTGGTGCGCAAGATATTTCTCGAATACGGTTCGGTGACTTTCGTAGCGCGTTATCGGCAGACGGTGTGCCTGTATGCGTAGCTATCGTAACTAGAATAACGCCTTTACGATCGCGCAGCCACGTTTGCCTCGTTTGCCAATCACGACTGCCTCGTTTCTTTGACACACAGGCCAAAGTTACGAAACCGGAGGCCTCGACGAATCGCTGATCGAACGCGTTTAATAAGCAGCTTCGTTACCGGTGTCCCATATTTATTAGCACGCAGTACCACCGTCACGTCCGTACGTATTTGTCGTACGCAGATTCGTCGCTGTAGATACCTACGATGTTTCACAGGAAACGGATGGCGATCCGTAACTGTTGGAAAGCGGCTTTTTACGTCGAATGTACCGTGATCGTAACATATTAAAGGCATCTGGTAATTAGAGCGACATGGAAAGGGACATCGTACGGTCCATGGAGTTCCTCGCGCCGATTACACGCGCGTACCTATACTTCGATCGCGTTCCTTTCCGATTCGAAAACGCGCTGGTTTCGGTTTATTCGAGCGTCCTAATCTCCGGTGAGGCATTCACCGCTGCTTCGTAGCGGACGAAGAAAGCGTCGTTTTCGCGAACAACGGATACAAGGGGCGAAGAAGATACGTCGGGTACGAACCGTTGCTTTCGCGCGTCGGTGTACAAAAGCGGGACGATCTACGGTCGATCTAGCTTCGAATCGATCAGTTGGCTCTTTAGCAGCTTGCGAGCGGACGCTGGACGATAGAACGGTTTCGCCTGGACTGCGATCGATCGACGAATCGGTCGATGAATTCATTGACGAATCCGACGATCGAGGGATGCGAAAGGTGAAAACGTAAGCGGAGTACTAAGAGGAGGAGAAGGGGTGTTGAACAAGAAGAGGAAAGGTCGGAACGACCGAAAAGGACGAAGTCGGAAAAGGAAACCGGCTGGTT